AGATTTGTAATCAGCGACCCCAAAAACACTTTCATACCAAGTTTGATCCAAATCGAGTAACTTTTCACATTTTGTTTCGCCATATTGGATCTGCCATCTCAAAATTTAGAGATTCAACATGGCGGATTCAATATGGCGAAACAAAATGTGAAAAGTGACTTGATTTGGATCAAACTTGATATACAAGGGTTTTTGGGACCGCTGATTACAAATCTGAACTAAAAATTTAGAGATTCAACATGGCGAATCCAATATGGCGAGACAAAATGTGAAAAGTGACAGGAATTTGATGAAACTTGACATACGGGGGATTTTGAGGTCACTAATTCTATATATATCAGAACTCAAAAATTCGAAATAAATAATTGCAAATACAAAATGGGCTTTTCTAACGGCATTAATAAATTTGACGTATCACGGATTATTTTTATTTTCATTATAATTATATTTAGTAAACATATTGTAATATATTCGCTATCGGTAACATTTTTCGTTCTCTGGTTTATGTTTAAGGCCAAAAGTATGTAATACAATAATAATGAAAAATAACTTTAAATAATCCAATAAGTGAAAATACGAGTAGTGATAGAAATTACATATTTAAAAATTAAAAAGATTAATTAGTTTAAACATTTCAATAACACTACCGAACTTAGATCAAACTTTAATTAAAACACGATTGTTATAGAACATAAATGTAAATTTATTTGCATGATCTGCTTCGTCATAATATTTCAATCTATTTTTATAATTTATAATTTGTTATACTTTATTTCATAGCTTCCATATATTCATTTCTTCGAATAGGTTGGTCAAATATCTTTTGAATATTCATTACAGGTGCAGTTTCAAATGGATAATCGGTCCTTGGGAAGGATGCTCGGCTACATGCGGAAGCTTCGGTATTCAGCTGCGACAAATTTACTGTGTTCAATCCGAATTTAATGGGACTAATGTCAACAAGCACAATGAATTAGAAGTTTATCGGACAATGGTACAGCCGTCAATATGTAAAACGAGTACAATGCCTGTAAATAATAGAGAATGCAATAGGATTCCTTGTCCTGGTCGTTGGATTTTCACGGATTGGTCTGCGGTAAGAAAGAATTTTTTCTTCTTTATTCTTCAAACATCTAACATTAGCGACAAAATTTTATTTAAATAATGCACAACTATTGCTTTATGCCATAAATACATCAAAACCACAGCTCAGTATACTGAGCTTATTATAATAAGTTACACTTGGATTATGTACCCTGTTAATGCACTCTGAATTAATTATAATTATCCTACTGATATTCATGCAATCCTACAAAATAGAATATTTGCAAACGTACTGTATTTAGATTCAATTTTTATAAGTTGCAATACATCAAATCCACAGCTCAGTATACTGAGCTTATTATAATAAGTTACACTTGGATTATGTACCCTGTTAATGCACTCTGATTTAATTATAATTATCCTACTGATATTCATGCAATCCTACAAAATAGAATATTTGCAAACGTACTGTATTTAGATTCAATTTTTATAAGCTGCAATACATCAAATCCACAGTTCAGTATACTGAGCTTATTATAATAAGTTACACTTGGATTGTGTACCCTGTTAATGCACTCTGATTTAATTATAATTATCCTACTGATCTTCACACAATCCTACAAAATAAAATATTTTCAAACGTACTTATAAAAATTGAATCTACATAGGAATGTATTTTACTCTGCAAAATTATAACTTGAACTTTACTTTCAATAATTTTGTATATTATTAATGCATACTCTGTGCATTTTGTAGCTTCTTGTACATTCAAATTTCATATAAATACATAAAATAAATAAATAAAATAAAATACAGAATACATACATACACAAAATAAATAAATAAAATGAAATACATAATACATACATACATAAAATAGTATAAAATAAATAATAAATAAAAATCTGCAATCTGATTATGAAGCTTGCAGATCCAATGATGATTTATTTTTACAGTGCTCGAAGAGTAACGGGAAAGGCATCCAATCTCGGATAGCTAGATGCATTCCGCCGGACAAAGAATCATTCTACACTTGCGATGGTGCTGTAGTGAAGACAGAAATACGTCCGTGCACAGGACACTCGACGAGGGCCATCGAATTTCCATATCGTTGCTGGCGAGACAAGAATCGATTCTGTTCTATACCGAGCTTGAAACAGTATTGCAGCGTCCCGGGATTCAGGAGAAGGTGTTGTCGCTCTTGCGAGATAAACAAACACCTGGATTTACCTAGCACCTTCGATTCTAAAGAACGCAACCTGCGGACTTAACTATTTCATTGTCAGCTGACATGCTCTTTTGCATGCTCTTTTCTGAAATTGTACCACAGTGTAGGCCAAGCAAGTGTAATAAACTATAACTTTCATTATCAGTACATTTAGAAAGAAATGTTAAAGTTAAAAGATAAATTGTTCAAAGTGTACTACATTTGTTAGACAATGACCATTTATATAAGTCCAACAGTACGTGTCCAGTTTCATTCCTTTTCAAATGAAAATGCATATTTTTATTCGCATCGATTGAATTCTTTCATTATTCAACATGAAAAAGTATTAGGGTAAAGCGTTACAATTCGTTAAAGTAAGATATTTTAAACAATTGTAATGAAGATGCTGGAACGCTTTGTGGAAATGTTATAAACACTTCGTACACTGATCAGACTCAAATGTACAGTAATAACCAGAGATTATCTTAATCACGTAATGAAAATAGTTAATAGTGTTGTATAAAATGTGTAGAAAGTGATGAAGAAGCATTTGAGCATATTTTTCATTACCCTAATACTTTTTTACATAGAATAATGAAAGGAATGAATGTAAACAAAATATATGTAAACAGAAATATCCATTTCTATTTAAAAAAATAATGCAACTATCGAGTAGACATGCACTATAGCACTTGCAAAAGAAACATGGTCCGACAAATATCGTACACTCATCTTTTCCCCTTGACATTTTTCTTTGAATGTACTGATAACGAAATTATAGCTTCTTACACTTACTAGGTTGTCCCATAAGTTCCCATACACTTGATGCTTGAATTTTTTACATTAAAATTCTTTATGACATTTGATCCAAATCAGAATTGACCAATTGGCAGAAAGATGGATGAAAACTATTAGAAGCAATGGCATTTATTTTGAAGAATAATTATTGTTTGATTACAAAGTTATTATAAAATGATTTATTGGTAGCAAGTGTTCGGGAACTTATGGGACAACCTAGTACTTGCCCACTCTGTATACTACGCAATAAAATTATTCATTAAAATTTTGTCATTCTTCAAATGCGCATAACTTCCTCAATTTCCATTGTCTCCAGACAATTATTTTCTCATTTTCTAGGTAATTAACTGTACTTTAAGAAAAAATTAATGCAAAATGGATGAGAGTCAATGCCACATTTCCATGCCTCAACACTTAAACACTTTTTTCTTTAAAACTTGATTACTTAACAGGCTACCTAAATTGCGCTGATTTTTTCGGAAATGAAACACAACAAACCATCGCAAAACGCACAGTTTGACAAGTAACTTGAAAGAAAAAAGAAGTCTGTACGGGTTATGCGATTTTGAAGTTATTCGTACACTTTTCAACGAATATCAATAGGTTGATGCATTGTTTTTGTCTATTATCAAAGGAAAAGAATTACTTGTAATAACAATTTCAAAAGTCTTGTATTATATACCTACTTTAATAATAAGGTCAAGGTGCAAATATAATAGAATTTATATATAATTAATTTTTCTTACATGCCGTGTCAAACAAAATAGTATAATTGTATGTTTCCACCAGTTTCATATTTCACAACAAATACATATAATTCGTGAGTATATCCACTCTGATTATAAACAATTCATCATAACTGTAAGAATGTTAATCCTTTATACGTCTAAAAATTTAGATATTCTTTTAGAGTCCATTTTTAATTTAAAATTTTAGATTTAATCTATTTCAAAAGTAATTTGTAATTTATTAACCATTCATTCTGATGATTAATTAACACTTAAACTGTGGGACAATTAAAACATTTATAGTGGCATAAATAATAACCCATGTATCGTCAGCTATTTTCATACAGGGTCGAATCTGGAATTCTTGCTGGAAGAAAGGGGAGATATGTAAAAGTATATTTTTGAACATTCTTTTGCACGAATTAACATTTATTTAGAACTTATCAATATTTTTATTCGATATTCGTTCGTAAAATGAATAATAAAAATATTTTTCAAAGGTTTCATACCCTCTACATTGACAAACGTGATAATGCATGATAACGCAATGAAAGTTATTAAGCTTTTTATTTTCTTTCTTTAAATTTAATGCAATTAAATCCTTTATACAGAGATAACTTGGTCAAACTGTTCGTTAGTTCGAAATTTCTCAATTTACATTTTAATAATATTAGAATATTGGTAACTGAATACATTTATAATTAATAAATGTTTGATTTTAATTATAGGTATCATTATAAAATCATATAAATATAGTTATTGTTATTCTCAGCTATCTTCGTTATAAAATATTTCAAGATTGCTGATTTGTATAAATTAAAAGTTGTTTTAAGGATGTACGAATTAGGATCAGTGAAATAAAAACTGTTTTCAAGAGTGTAGCACTAGGTGATTTAAGATGTAAGCCTTCCTAATCACTTATATTAACCAAATTCAGGTGTTGAATCATAGTTATGTCAATCAATGGATCAAATGAATTTATCCATCTTAAATTACAAATATTTAAAATACATATCGTTCAAGATCTCCAATACGTGTTTACCATAATTTATCTTTGTTTTTCTTTTTAAATTTAAGACATAGGATTAGTTATTTGCTAAGAAAAGCTGCTGACATTGATAACAGGCTAATGTTTATTTCAATTTCGAGTGTATAGTACACAGTAACATTGTTAGGGGTGCGAGTTAAAAATTTGGCAAAACGAATTCAAATCAAGCAGGACGAATCACGTTAATAAATATCGAAGGGAAGATGGTAGTATGGAACTTTGCTTCGTACGATATGATGTTCCATATTATCATATTCACTTCTTCGACCTCCACGAGGAGCAAAGAAACTTATTCGGACACTTGGAAGACTCGACTCTATCTTGTCTTCCGTTTATCGGTTTCTTTAAACTGTCTCTTATAGGAATTTGCGTTTGAGAACATTACATTTGCTCAAAATCAGCGAAGATATGCACGTAACATAAGATATGTACGCAAGTACGCAAAGGTTGTTTCAGAAATACAGGTATCGAATCAATCAGACAAAGAACATAAAACAAAAATAAAGAAACACAAGAATATTTTATTAAGCGTAGATTATTTTTATTTATGAATTTAATATATCTCTATTGGAAGCTAGATATGATTGAGAATTACAGAGCTCGTGACAAAATCAGTCAAAATATAATTTTGTTACTTTTAATTTTAGAAGACTGGAGCATTCAATTTTTACTGTATTTAGAAAAACAGTGTGAAGTTTATGCACACAAACTAAATAACTTAATAGTACTCAACAAGAAGTTAATAATACATCCTCGTGGGACAACAAATGGTTTATTTCGTAGAGATGAAACACTTTTTACTACTTTGCAGGCTATTTTTTTTTGCAAATTACGAATTACTATCCAATAAAATTAGTACGCACTCACTAGTTCTTTGTACGGTGCCATCCTAGTTTAAAACTAATCATAATTTTTAGTTTGTATGTTTATACAAGTATACGTATCGCATACTGTACTATACAATGATCTATCGATCAAATTCATACAGAAATCCATATCATGCGACAGATCAATTTACACTTTTAACTATTTACACTTTTAATAATAGTGCATTCTATACTATTTTGTAACATTTTATATTATAAATTCATGTCTGTTAGTTTCTTTGCTCACGAAATCCTTTCTTTTCATTGCTAATTATTCATACTAATTTAAAGCAGTTTCCTATGTTTATTCAAACTAAATGTAAAACATTCCTTGCGATTACTTAGAGAATTTCATTTATTTGAAGCCTGATTATTAGACTGTGGATCATTATGCATTTATAGGAAATTTGAATGTGCAAGATCCTACAAAATGCAAACAATATGCAAGAATATAAAAAAGATTGGAAGTAAAGTTCATGTTATAATATTTACAGAATAAAATAAATTCCCATTTAGCTTCAATTTTTCTAGGCACGTTCGCGAAGATTTTATTTTCCATAAAGATCCGCAGTCTACTGATTATCAATCCAAGGAAATTAAACGATAAAAGTAAGTGCCAAACATGTTTAAAAAAAAAAACATTTAAACTAAAAGTATGTTACTTGAAATTCGTTAATTTGAAAAGCTAGCGATAATTGTACCTGTAATTCTGAAACGCACTACAGATCGACACGAGTGTTTTACACGTAGAAAAATGTCGATACACGACAAGTCGTTGAGTCGTACGCTCCTGACTAGAAGCTCGTTTGTTTTAGTCGAGAATCAGTGTAAGGAATATCGACCTGTGATTATTAGTCGCACTCGTTGAATTAATGCCCTTATTACGTACTCAGTTTTTCCCTTTCTCGTCGCAGGGAGTTACAATAGTAATTAGTATTGTCTGCTTTCCAAATTCACGTTAGTCTTTTTCCCCTGAAAGTTCAGGGATAGCCTAACCGTTTAACGTGATGGCGAAACATCGTGATAAGTCGATTTTCTGATCGCAGTTTCGTTTTCGTTATATCGGCGAAAATCATTAAATTCGTTACGATTAATATGAACACACGACTCGAGTGTGAACCTTACGTGTACGTACTTTTAACACGTGCATAGATAATTACGTAATTAAATATCTCTACAATTACATTTTCATATATTATAACTATATATAATTACATATAACAGATATACAAACGTATACCTTCTATACATTATATAATTCATATATAACTCTGGGTACAAATAATGTTTACAAAAATATTAATTTGGGAAGGCAAACTTTCAATTATAAATCGTTTACATTTGGATAATCACGAATGTAACAATCAGCGCGGTTGATTTATCTACAATACCAAACACAGAAGGAAACGTGTTCCTCGAATTCGAATTCACGGTTCTTGTTTATGTTTCATTTCTTCTTTTTCATTTTTAATGTGAACCTCTCGATTCGGAATAATCTTGACAAAAGCATATCTCATCTTGGATACATTGAAACAAGACAAACGTTCGTGGATTCAATCGTTTAACGCTGACTCAAGACAAAATGCTCGAGACCTTTACATCTTTGGCTCATCTTAAACTTAGGCGGTATGTAAGTATGTATCCAGTTTCACTAACGATGAAGAAATTTATTCTTAAAGTTTGGTGTGGTCCAGGTTCGAAGCTAAATGTTTGTTTATACATCATAGATAATGGTGTTCAGTTAAAAATCCAGGAAGACCAAAGTAATTGTATTTGAATGCTTAAGAAATTTGGAAAATTGAGTCAGATATTCACTAGAAAGTTGTGAAATCTTTTATGACTTGTTTTAGTTGCAAAAATACAAAGTATTATTATTAATTTTGAACCAACGAATCTTGTAACACCTCGTTTGGAAATTTTTGACAATGATGACTCGTTTGCAACAAGAGTCTCATGTCGAAAAATACTATTCGCATAAGAATAGTTCCATATTAGTAATCTGTGCGGTACACAAATTTATTATAAATTGTTGACGTCCTCCTAGCATCTTCTCAATGAACACAATTCTCTTCGTCTGCAAACATCTGCAGTCCATTTGCCATCTGACCGATTAAATAATTAACTTAACCCTTTGCACTCGAGGCCTTTTTTTCTGGTATCTGCCAGCAACTCGAGATGTTTCTTAACATTCTATTGCCATGGATTCTAAGCTATTTAGATTTGAGAATAAGGTCACCTTTACCTCATCAACAATCATTTTATCAACACTTGGAGCTCCAAAGAAATGAAACCTAAAGAAACATTAGGTATTTTAGATTTGCTGCGTGAGACCTAATGGTGACTGAGAGTCACCTCTCGAGTGCAAAGGGTTAAATGGACGAATAACTTTGTTCGTTGCTGGTGAAACCAGACAGACCCTTCGATTACTGTAGCCTATAGGTGGCCCTAGCGAAAATAGGCCCGACGGAAACTTCTTCGTTTCAAACAAGCATACCAGAATATTCTCACGAGCTAGCTTTCAACAATTGCTTTCAACAAACTCTTAAGGTTATGCTCTATTTTACAATTTTTCTGTTTCGCGAGAAATAACCTTAAATTTTGTCTAAAAAAGAACGCGAATGAACGCTGTCCATTCTCTTCCTAATCTCGAACGCCTATGTCCGCTCGACGCAATTGTCCTCGTGAATGGTATAATAAATAAGTAAATGTTATTGTACACTACTTACACGTTATTCGTAACCTTAGGATAAGTTTTTGGTAAATTCGACGATAAGGTTCATCGTGTCGAGTTGCGTGACTGCGTTTATCATTGGAGCAACGTCGACGTCGATATCGGTTAAGGAAGACTGTTGTGACGTGTGTTTTCTTCGTCCCTTATCATCGACGCGTTATCGTTAAATTTCATCTATGTTAATGGGTCGACTTAGCGCTTTGGTAAAGCATAATATGCGGCTCGATACGCGGAGCGACGAGGCTCGTCGTTGTTCCTCACAATCTCTCCACGTAGTTGCCAGGGAACGTGCCGAAGTAACCCGTCCTCTGACTAGAACCTACGTACCAACCGTCGTCGCATTTCTCCATCACGTACACCGTGTCGCCTTCCTTTAACTCCAGCTCGTCTTCGTTTTGAGGTCTGTAAGGGTACAGGGCTCGGTATCTGTAAAACATATCAAAAACGTTAACATTTTAGCATTTAGTTATCTCTAAATTTTAACACTATGTTTGTAAGACAGGTATGTATATATAATAAATAAATTTGTTATATATTGGTGATTTAAAACTGTGCAATACTCATTTTCTCAGTCCTCGACTTGAGTGTTATGAAGTATAAAATTTAAAGTGTGCATTATAGATATTATATATAATACATAAATTTGTTATATTGGTGATGTAAAACTGTGCAATACTAATTTTCTCAGTCCTCGACTTGAGTGTTATGAAGTATAAAATTTAAAGTGTGCATTATAGACATTGTAAAATATGAGAATGTTGCACTTCAGGGACGAAGAGACATGTATTGCAAGTTAATATTCCAAAATTTCATGTGTTAATTGTTTTGTTAATTATCTTTTGTACATTGTGTTGGATATAGGGTAAATTTGTATTTTAAGATTAAGTTAAGAAGGTGCTGTTGTTAAAACAAATAATTTTTCTAACGCTTAAAGACATGTATATGTCTACTTATATATAAAATGTGATAATAAAATTACAAATATAAGTATGCGAGTAGATATAAGTACTGTCGTAATAGTCAAAAGATAATATGGTATACGCATAGTACCATATATAATTTTTATATCAGTTTATATAATGTTTGTTAAAATTAACATATAGATAGATAGATAATATAGGATGCCAAAAAGGATAGACAGATATTTAAGATACATATTGTAAAAATTGTAAAGAAAGACAGTGCAAACTGGAAAACTGTACCCATGCACTTAAAATAAACTATTGAATCGAAGAAGGTGCTGCCACCTAGTTTTATGTAATTTAGATATAAGCTTTATATTAAATAAATGTTATTAGATTTAAGTACAAACAAATGACTGATCCTTCATTTCTACAACTTAACACATTGTGTTGAGATATTCGTAAGTACAAACATTAAAACTTACGGTATCGGCTCGGAGTGTGTATCGATGTGCAATTCTTCGTTGAGCTGCGTCACGTGCAATTTGCTTCCTCCCATTCTTGGCTGCAAATTGTACAAAACAGAGGGTAACACAAATTATTAACATTCTTGGCTTTGTAGTTCTAATGTTAAAAGTCCTTTTCTTTCGAGCTACATTCTATAGGCTTGCTTATTTAAGTTTTAGGCTTTTTTGTTTAGACTTGCACCATTTCACATAACGTGTGCTCACCCAACTTTCTAATACAGATGCTCCTTAGTGCTTTCTTTTAAATGTTAACACCACTATGAAAATATCAAATATGTTTCCTTCCTATGGTTCATATTAATGGTTCATATTTTTGTCTACATATCTCAGTACATATACCATTCTTTATACATATATATATATTTATATTTTTTGTATATTTTACGTGCTCAACTTTATCTTAATCGCTAATAAAATTTGCGAGATTTACAACGATCCCTCAGAGGAAGCATTTGAGTGCAAAGGGTTGATACATCAATTAAAAGGATTTTGGGTAATCAAGAAAAGACAAAAATGATTTCAACGCGTCGTACAACGTGTTGTATAACTTGTTGTACAATAGATTGTATCGCGTATGAAGCGTTTAAGGGATACCACATCGCACATAATAGAAATTCTTTGTAGAAATTCTTTCACTAACCAGTGAATTGAAGTGGGGCTGAGTTGTGTTTATATTGACTGGTATGGACGGCATGTAGTGATGATGTCCCATGCTCATTTTTCCCCCAGCTGATCCGTTTGCTAGGAGACTGTGCGCGGCTGGAGCGGCAACTGGTTTATTTTGAACTGGAGTTTCTGTAATTAATACAGATTTATTACATTTATAGCAAATATAAATAGATGAACTACGTATGATCAACAGATAGAAAATTATTTTAAGAAATGTTGTCATCGTGACATGCAAAGAATTTTATTAGAGTCTAGAATTAGAAGTAAGTGTATCAATAGTGAAAATACTATACCTGATCTGTGTCCAGGTTCTGTAATGACTTCGACGTAAGAGATAGGGAATATTCCTTTTCGATTTCCAATACGTCCCTCATACCAGTTCTCATCCACTCTCCTTGTCAGGACAACGAACTCTCCTGAAAGAAATTGTCAGAGTTGTATATGGATTATTCAAACATTAATACTATAGATTGATAGCTTTGTAACGACGTTGGTATTTCAGGAATTTAGTTGTTATCATAGATGGATAGATAAAGTAGTTACCTTTGGCCAATGAAAGTTCGAGATTGGTCTGAGCGACGAAGTTGAATTTAGCTCTTGCTTGACCTTCGTAAGGTTTCTTTGGTGTTGTTCTCATGCCATCGTATGGTAAAATCTGTAACATAACAAAATGGTGTATATTTGGTGGTATAAATAAAATACTAATTATAGAAAATGATAGAAAAATTAGAGAAAACAGAAACTTTTTTGTCAAATTCGATGTTAGAAGGCTATTCCCTTGCCAACCATAACGCAGTGTTACTTCACTTTCTTCTAGAGAGTATTTACTCCATCTCCTTGTTTTACTATTTCGAAAAGTCTCATTGCCATTGGTTTTATTATCTCTTTTAAATAATCTTGTGTATTATTCCATCCAACAATTTATCTTACTATAATTAAATGTGTTCCATATTTTCTTTTATCCATTCCAACTAGATTTAAGTCTGATGATTAAGGCGGTATACTTATAACTTTTTGCTAACTATATAACAAATATTCCCGTACAATTCTTATAAATATTATCATTGCTTTTTCCATAGTTTCACAAATTCGTACATTAAATATTATATTTCCTAAATAAAAGACCCCGAAAGATCTTTTACTACTTCTTTTATCGTTCATATCCCTGTTTCTTTCTGTGTATTTCTTTCTGTTTCTTCAATAATTTTGTGACTCACTGTACGTACGTAAAGACAGAAGGAGTACTAACAACATCAATACTCTGCTATCAGGTATTACCTCGACGTAATTCGATGGAAACAGTCCGATCATAGCATTGTGTTCCCCCTCGTACCAGTTCTTGTCCACCTGGCGACGGACAAATATTATGTCACCGCGACGGAAGTTCAATTCCCGCGAGGATTGACCGATAAAGTTGTAAAGCGCTCTCGCTACCAGCCGTGGTTCCGGCGTTTGCTCCTGCGATCTACTTCTGTGGCTCAGGTCGTCCACGAAGTCGTCGTAACGGTTCAAAGGGATCGGCGACTTCTGCGATGGTCTGGAATAAACAAAAGTTTTAGTAAAGAAAATGAAAATGAAGCTATATGTCAAATTTACTTCGTGTGTTATGGTATAACTGAACTGTTCACGCGCGGTTTGCACTGTATAAAGTAAGTATTTATTTACGTGAAGATATATATATATATAAATGAACTTCGACTATTGCCGCGATCGTACGCATAAAACGCATAAGGAACAATAAAAAACAATCGACGATCCAAGCCGTTGTCGATATATTTCCTAACACTATACAATGTTGGCGAATATTTCTGTATTTTATGGTTATATATGAGAATAATAATAAACGTGTTAAGTTTTGGTCTGTGTAAGCTTATTTTTTTGAAACGAATCAGTCTCTACGATTTTTTGAAGAGTTGGAAAGAGCCAGGGGCGTAGCACGGGTAATTTGGCGCCCGGGGGCATTTCAATAAATTTGATAATACAGATAATATTGTGGGATTAATTAATGTTAATTAATTATTTGTAAATTATTCCTGCAAACGTGATAGTGATTCTCCGTTTTATGTTTTTGAGTATGCAATTATCCATTATTCTTTATGAACAAGTTTTACGGCTTGTGTGAGACATACAGAGTGTCCCAAGAATGTTGGAAGTCCTTGGAAGGAGTGGTTCGGGAGGTGATTTGAAACAACTTTTTCCTTAGCGAAAATGTTGTCCGAGGCTTCGTTAAGGAAATATTAAGAGAAAACCCCGCACCAATCAGAGCGCGAGGATGCCGGCGGAGGGAGGTCGCTTAGCGTTTGATTGGTCCGGCGTTTTCTGTTAATATCTCCGTAACGAAGCCTCAGACAATATTTTCGCTAAGGAAAAAGTTGTTTCAAATCACCTCCCGCACCACCTCTTTCAAGGACCTCCAACATTTTTAGGACACCCTGTATAATTTGATTTTTCTAATAGTTTCTTATTCAAAAATAGAGCACTATCCTTGTACAATTTGACTTCATGGGAATTTCAAAACTATTTTGCGCCATTTGGTACCCCCACTTGCCCCCCAATTGTTACACCTCTGGAAAGAGCCGAGAAAAAAAATGTTTCGAACAAGAGACAATTTAGACAAACTAGTATTTAATCGTCACGAAATTGCAATATGAAAAATGGTAAAAAAATGTGGTTTAATTGAAGGGCCCATGATTTTTTTTTTAAAATGAACCCTACATAGATCTTTAACGTGACAGTTTTGTAGATAATATTGCGACGAATTCAGGAACCTACTATGCTATGTAACTTCGGTGTTAAATGAAAACATGGTCTTGACTCGACGAACTAGATGGAAATAGATGAACATGAACATTATGAATGCTCATTTATATAACTGTCGCTTGTTGCTGTTGTTATAAAACCTACTAGTTTACTAAGTGAAAGTATCTGAGTCATAATGCAATTTTTAAATCAACGTCATTCCAAGGTCACAAAATTGCACAATAAGTGATCGTTGGTTATTTTGTAACATTCAGATGAAGCTTATGTATCCCATTTCATGTTCCTTTTGTATATAAATTTATATATCAAAGATTATAACCCAAAATATCATTTTATAATGTATTTGGTACTGCATCTATTGTAAGCAGAGATGGAGGTGTCCATATTCATAAATATGAATATGAATAAATTCCCATCACGCGGACTTGTGTATATGAATATGAATAAATTCACATTTTTATTCATAAATAGCGCTTTTTTCACATTTTTATTCATTCTAAGATTGTAATCCAAAATCTCATTTTATAATATATTTAATTTTGCAACTATTGTATATATCTTCTCTTGGAATGTGTTGCTGAAGGAAAATTAGAAGTTACATCGTTTCTATTAATAATTAAATGCTAAGTTTATTTTAGAAAAGCAAAGAATTAATTTCTACGCCTGACATTAAAATCTTTTAATCATTTCTGAAACTTACATGAAGTTGTCAGTGTGACGTCGCGAATCGATGTCATGAAGTTCCTGAAGATACTTGCGACGACGTTCCTCTTGATAAACGCGTCGCATGTTCTCTGCGCTTCGACGTGCGAGTTCTTCCTCACTTAATGGCTCCTTCGCCTCTGTACGTACTGGTGAACGATAGTGAATCGTCACCTCGCCCTCCACATAACGCCTCGGTGATTCTGCGACAGAGAAACTCCGTTATTATGCTCACATGATCGCCGATATCGTTCGATTCTTTTATCTCGGCGTTCCCCGAGTACATTCTCCTCTTCTCAACGTTATATTTCTTATGACTCGATCTATATGAACTCTGAAACGACTGGTGAAAGAAAATGTTACGAAAGAAAATGTCCGCCAAAGCCTGTTCCCTGACTTACTATTAGACTTATTATTATTATTATTATTATTATTATTATTATTATTATTATCAGCATTTGGAATAAAAATAAAATAAAAATTCCTTGTGGAATAAAAGTTCCTTGCAAATCGATGATCAAATATTCAAAATTGGTATTTAATAGGACTCGATGCTTTGTTATGTACAAATTTATTATATATGTTTAATGATCTTGAAGTATGTTGGAGAGAAACTATACATTATATCTATAATGTATCATTATTATACAGGGTGGTTCACGCAACTTGTGCAACCTTATAATTTCCAAAATATGGATTGCACGAAAAAATATTACACACAAGAGTTACTTGGATTAGAAGGATACAGTATACAGGGTGTGCAAAAAATGTCGGAGGTCCTTAAAGGGGATGGTTCGGGAGGTGATTTGAAACAACTTTTTCCTTAGCGAAAATGTTGTCCGAGGCTTCGTTGAGGAGATATTAACAGAAAACCCCGGACCAATCAGAGCGCGAGGATGCCCGTGGAGCGCCCGCGGTAGGCGTGGGCCACGCGCTAGGCGACCGCCCTCCAATGGTATACGCGCGCTCTGATTGGTCCGGCGTTTTCCCTTCATATCTCCTTACCGAAGCCTCGGAGAACATTTTCGCTAAGGAAAAAGTTGTTTCAAATTACCTCCACTCTGTATATACAGGGTGTCCCAAAAATGTTGTAATACCTTGAAAGAGGTGGTTCGGGAGGTGATTTGAAACAACTTTTTCCTTAGCGAAAATGTTGTTCGAGGCTTCGTTGAGGAGATATTAACAGAAAACCCCGGACCAATCAGAGCGCAAGGATGCCAGTGGAGCGCCCGCGGTAGGCGTGGGCCACGCGCTAGGCGACCGCCCCCCAATGGTATACGCGCGCTCTGATTGGTCCGGCGTTTTCCCTTCATATCGCCCTAACGAAGCCTTGGACAACATTTTCGCTAAGGAAAAAGTTGTTTCAAATCAACTCCCGAACCACCCTTTTCAAGGACCTCCAACATTTTATGAACACCCTGTATACTGTATCCTTCTAATGCAAGTAACTCTTGTGTGTAATATTTTTTCGTGCAACCCATATTTTGGAAATTATAAAGGTGCACAAATTATGTGAACCACCTTGTATAATAACTATACATTATAGATATAATATACAATATATAATAACACTACAAAATCCTTTACAATGAATACCTCATACATTATAGCAACTGGTCTTCCCTAAATCAAAAATTCCTAAATGAATTTATTCAGAAAATTGAGTTCCAGAGATTTCTGGACTACGAAATTAGTTTTCTTCTATCCATACTATGTATAATTGCATATATTTTCTGTGATATTTTCCTTGTATTAATAAATAAAATTTTATACAAAACGTACACATAAATTTATTCATCGAGCATAGGTATAATATTTATGAAACAATTTTGCATCAGTCAAAGTGCAATGTCAGAAGTTTGCCAAGTCAGGAAACAAGTGTTCGCAGACACACGGATGTTTATGCGACATTTTCATAATGTTATAGTTAGTGAAGCACGATCCCAAGGCGTGATCGTATATTTATAGCAACATTTTGCACGTCGAGAACATGTATTTTCCGTATACATACATATGTCATTGTTATGAAAAATTACAATGGATTTTATAATCCATTGTAACTGCAAGATGCATGGAGTTAATTACAGACGTAAATGTACAGTTACATTTAATTTTGTTACGTTTAATGCTGTTCATACTAACCATTAAGTGAATTAGTAATTAGAATTTAGAAGTGCTTTTTAATATATTTAAATATGATTTACACTCATGCGTGTAATATTTAAAAATTTATATAATTAATACCAGCTGTTTTTTCTTTGATGAGATAATTTTCTAAATATTCAATACAAAACTAGGAAATCTGTCATGGTAATAAATTGCATTTGGATGTCTAATATAAATCATGTAGTACAAATGATTCTATTTACATTAAATTTGAAATAAAATTTGATATTTTTAGGGGACAATCCACGCCAAATCGGAGAGTTAAAAAAACTTTTTTTTTATTTTCTTAATTCTCTGGTATTTTTTTAGTACCTCTCAAAAGAGACTTCCTGTTAAATTTTGAGATTTTTTTTATCACTGGTTAAAAAAATATCGAATTTAAAAAAAAAAAAAAGCCGCTATTTTGTTGATTTAATGCTCATAACTTTCTTAATAATGATCGAAATTCAATTGTTTTTTTTAAAACAGTAAAATAAAAAATCTTTAAGAAAATCGAAGGATACACACAATTTTATAAACACGATTGAATACTTAAAATTCAAAAATCTCGATTAAAAACGCTTTAAACATTTTTTTTCTATTTCTTTCTGTAAAGGCCATCTAGAAACAATAATTTTGAAAACATAGAAACTTGAATTTCGACCATTATTAAGAAAGTTATGAGCATAAAACAAAAAAAAGAGTGGTTTTCTTGAAAATTCGATATTTTTTGAACCAGTGATCAAAAGAATCTCAAAATTTACCAGGAAGCTTCTCTCGAGGGGTACTAAAAAATACCAAAAAATTAAGAAAATAAATAAAAAATTTTTAAACCGTCCGATTTGCCTTGTTATGCACCTTAAGTATCTTTAATTTCTTACCAATCGTCATACGAAGTAATATTATATCATTCAAACGAATTTCGTAAGATTACCATTGTATAAACTTTCTAATATTGTTATAAACGCTATATATCATCGTTAAAAAATAAAATAAAATCATGTAAACAAATAATTTAATATATTAATTTAATAACGTAAATATTTCATTTCTCATCGTATTTTTCACAGTGGCATGTAGTATATGTATTACATATTTTTAGCGTTCGCAAAATGTATAATCGCTGCTTAACATAATCTTTAAATAGATTTAAAAAATTAATAACTTAAAATTGAAGAAGCTGAAATTGGAGCTGAATTGAAAGATCGATTTGCTTTGATAAAAATATTAAAAATTCTTCAACCTTGACAATTTTAATAACGATGACGTTTTCCAAAGGATTAACGTCAGTTTTTTAGAAAAAGATAAAGAAAACTATTCTTTAGATGCGTCTAAAAGTGGAAACGTCTAAATTCAATTCGAAGCTTTCATTCATATGCGGCGCCAATGCTAGCCTAATGGAGTTTTCGAGCACCGATATCGGTTCTTGATTAGTATCGATACGAAATGTACGTCGCCCCTAATGAAATGTCCATCCCAGTTATTCCTATGCGCGTATCATAATGACAAATGATATTAACGCATAAATTACGAGCCTCGTTTCATTGTTCGTGACGCGGTTCGCTAATCAATATCTTCCGTATGTTGGTCGCTGTTGATTTATCGCTTCACGGCTTTGAAAACACAAAGTACTATTTCAACTGCTATTAATACTACAACTACTGTTATATTTATGTACAAAAATTATATGTAATTATATTACATTTTTAACTTATGTGAACCTCGAACTCGATTTTTCAAAAATTAATATTTTTGTGTAGAAAATGATAGTAACTCGTTTGTAGGTGATTGTAGTAACAACAGTTTCGTTTGTACCTTCGTTAATTAATAATTAAAAAAAATTTAAAAAAAATGGTCAGCAAACGACATTGAGATTTTTGAAATCTGTTTTTTCCCTATTTTTTAGAATCGTTTGTAATTGTTTGTGCTGCCTTTCGTTTCGTTTGTACCTCAATAGTTTAAATTTTACAAGCAATTGTTTATACGCGTAAGAGTGGAAATCGTCAATTTTCAATATTTTTAAAATCTGTTT